ACTGACTATATTTACAGTATAAGAAATGATCGGTTATTAATACTTTGAGATGGAAATTTATACATGCTCTCTATTATAACCCTCTCTCGTCTCTCTCGCTCACCCTTTTCTTTCTCTCATTTTTTTTTTCTTCTTTTTTTCTACTGTTGGCAAAATGAGTAAAATAAGTAAGAAAAAGTCTTCAGTTTTTTTCTCTCTCAGTTTTTTTTTTTTCTAGTAAAAGTGTATTGCTTATGATTTTTGATGATTTTTTGATCATAATTCCCGATAGAATTTCGATATGATAAAAATTCGTTTTTATCTTATTATTCGAAAGTTGACACTCGATCAAGAAAAAAAAAAGTTTGTTCAGATAATAAAATAAGAAATAATCATAATGTGTTAGAGAAAAACAAATTACGCAGCAAGTTTTGTTTCGTTTTTCTTTCTTGGGAAAAAGAGAGAATAAGTGAAAAAAAACGTATAATTGTGTACTTTTGCGTCGATGTATGCCTATGCCGTTGAAATCAATCTTCAAAAGAAATAATAAAACGAAACCTATACGCATATATTATTAAGTCTCAAATGAATGAAATTAAAAAAAAAACAGAAAAAAATTACATTTTTCTATCTATTTTTTTGCGTTTGTAAACACGTGGATGAATATGTTCAATACGTGAAGTAAACAGTTCATTCAGCACGGTATATTTTTAAGAGAGCATTCATACTAATATCGATTATACTGGATGTGGGAAAGTGTATCCAAAATTAGGCTAAAAAGAGTACCACTACAATACTACCATTTCGATAAAATATTATTTCTGACACAAATAACATAAGTTTAGACAAAAACGAATATTGCTGATGAACAAATACATATTTTCAATTGTTTTTGATACACTCCAATTTGTCTTTGTGCATTAGGTGAATCGACATCTGTAGTACTTTTTGCTGTGTTTTTCAATTCATCTCAAATTTGCAAGCTGACCCAATCTCTTCCTTAATTTTCAGTCAATACAGGTCAGCTTGCTAACTTTTTTCGGTCACTTCAACTCTCTCCATTTGACTACATGAAAAAATGATCGGAAAAAAGGTAATGCACAAAGGTAACTTGGACTGTATTAAAAACAATTGAAAATATGTATTTGTTCATTAGAAATACTGGTTTTTGTCTAAAAACTTATGTTACTATTCGGTTGTAAAGAAAAACAACGGATTTTTCGTGGTCTACAGTATCTGAAGTTTGATTTTCTCCGTTCGTTCGTTCCATTTTGAAAGATTAAAAAATAGTAAGTTTTGTTTAGTTTTTTTCACTCTGTCGACTCATCTATAAGTTAATTTTTAAACTAAAGAATGAAGAAGACATAAGGAAAATACGGAAAATTGTCGTTTTTGATAAACTTGTCCGAGGGCTTTTGAGAGAAATTTTGTATCTCGGTCCTTTTTCAGTCTCAAGGTTTAAAAACTTGGGTTCATGGGTGATTTTGATTGCTCTATACTATGAGCAAATAAAAAATGCAGGTTAATTTTTTACTGGATATTCGACTTTCTCAATGGCAGTATGGATCGTCTTTTAAGAGTTAAAGAAAATTCTGCGTTTTACTGCTCTCTTGAATGCATGGAAACGCATGCGGTTACATACACATCCGGGCGATCACCTATGTTGCAATAATTAAATTTTGCAACAATGACTCAAACTTTTCCAAAAATCGATACTTAGCTTTTTTTTCACATGTGTAGTAGTTAGAATGAAATAGACGAGAACATTTAATCTTTCAACCAAAAGAATTAGATAGATTTAGAAGATTTGAACGGTTTCACTCGTGTTTCAAGAATCTTTTTAATCATTTAAAGCTTAAATTCAACCAAATCTGATATTTTACAGTTCATGAAGAAGAGGAAAAAAATAGTTTTGGAGTTTTAAAAAACAACGAAGTCGAAAATTTTGCTTATTTTTGAAAATTCATTCGCTTTTGCCTATTTTTATAACTTCAGTATTTTTCGAAATTTTTATCTACAACTGACTTTTTTCTATGTTAATCGACAAGTTAACAATCCAGTCATAAAAATTAAAACGAAAAAATAATTTTGCTCGATTATTAAATTACTAGCATCTTACATTTTCTGTAGAAAATTGGTCGTCGGTTTCACACTATATGTGCGAATTAATAAATTAAAAATGAATAAGGCGTAATGAATGGAATTACACCTTTTAATGTCATAGTGAAAATTATAATACTGACAGTGTATTGGTCACATGCTGTCTGTTCTTGCTTTATTTTTATAGAACAGAAATTATTTTTACAATATATAATAACGCCATTTCTAGTTCGTCACATAAATCGGCAACACCACATTATGTCCTTATAACGTACGAAGCAATATGAATTAATTAAGTATTCAGATGAACTATTCAGTTATCGTGCATATGGTACGTGTCTCAATATCATATTTGAGTCTCAAGTTTTTTGTGATTTTACGAATGCGCATGTAATTTCACAGTCATTAAAGTATAATATAAAAGGATAAATAGATTTTTGATCCCTGAAAAACTGCACAACTGATCCCTATAGAAAAATTTGTATAAGGTCAAAGGCGAAGAGGGGACGGAGAGATGAAAGTGAGTGAAACTGATAAAAAAAAAAAGATCGAGATCTTTTGTGCTTTCTTTATACAAGTTTTAGTATACGGGATCACTTGTGTATTTTTTCCGGGATCATTTACATTCGTGTCCAATATAAAATATATCTTATTTTTTCATTATTTGTATTCAGAACTCACGAATAACACTGTATGTGCTCTTTCAATAATCAGAAACCCCGTCCGCCCACCCGTCAAGAGCTCAAAAATCTAAAATATTAATGACAATGATGTAGGCGTAATTTCATGGACGATTGAACGCATTGCAGTTATATTTCAGAAAAATCACAAATCTATCTCAAAAGAAGGCCAATTACATTTTGATCAAGAAAATGTGTTTTAATAAAAATTTCAAACCTCAGCACAACGATTTGGAGTGAGATTGACTATAGTGGCTTTGTTCGCACTTGTTTCAAGTGTTTTTCTTTATAACCAGCAATTAAAAGTTGAAATTTTCACCAAATGTTTCACTAATTGAAACTATCAAAATGACACACGTGAGAAAAATAAAAAATGCATATATAGATGGCAGCATACAATTGAGAATTACGAAAATATGAAAAATAGGCTGACGTGCAATATATTTTTCGTCACGACAAATAAATAAAATGAAATAAAATTTAATAGCTTAAAAAATCTTCACTGTTATTGAAGATGTGCTGATGTAGAAGTAAAAAAATAAATGAACTATTTTGTTTCTTTCTCTCTTCAAAAAATAACATAACTGAAAACTGAAATATTATAAAATTATCAATAAAAGTTAGCGGTCTTCGACAAAGCCAGCAAGATGAATCAATGTAAAGTCCAACAGTTTGATGTCAGAGTTGAAAGAGACTCTTTTCACTGCTGAGAATGTGAATTTAGCTTCTAATCACTGAAGCTAGCTTCTCTACACAGTACACGAAGCGTTACGCTATGGAAACAAGGAGGTTCACAACAATTTTAAGAAACGATGAGATCCACCATTTAACGTATTAATATACACGTATCGTTGTAAAACAAGAACGGTTGGAACAATTTCTTGTTTTGCGAATTAATATGAAAGGTTTCTGAAACTGGAAAAGTTAGCAACACTCTACTTGCAATGTCTATTTTTTCTTCTTCTTTGTACACACCACAGCTCCGTATGAACTTCAGTGAAAACTTTCTGAGTTCATGGACTTGGACTAGACTGGATTCAAACTTTCAAGACCATGGACTAGTCTCGGTTCGAAAAAAATTTTGGATTCACTTGAATCGAGGAAAAATCATTAAAAAACAGGCTGTTTTAGTACTGTGGACTGGACTACTTTTTTTTATAGTCTATCGACTGAAAAACTTTGTTTCATAAACTCGGGCTGGACTAGACCAGATTGTTTCAGTTCATGAACTGGACTGGACTCAGAATTTTGAGCCCGTAAGAATCTCTAGTACACACATATTATATATGGAAGGAAAAACCCTATAAGAGTAAAGAAACATGTTTTCTAGTAATGTAGATTTCTATCGGGTAAATTGAGAAAAACAATTGATAAATAAATGAGCATGCGTTCAGTCTGTGTGTATGTGTGTGTGTGTACGCAGGGATAATTAAAACACCACTCCACTAAATATAGTGGAGATATTTAAAAGCGACCTAGAACGATAATAGCGTATTTCTAGTCGACTATGTCAATACTAATGGCTAATCTAATAGCTTGTCGTATCAAGTTTTACTGTATCTATGAAATAATAATCTATTGTAAATCAAAAAGTCATTTTCTACTATTTCCTTCGTTTTTTTCTTGAGTCACACAATCAGACGTTATACGACTTAACTCTTTAATATCTCGGCACATATTTAATGAGAAAGCTCTTATGTCGTTTTAAAGTTAAGCAATTTATTAGTCATATCAGCCAGACTTAAGCGGTACCGGAACTGAAAAATCTTGCTCCCTCGCATATCTAATCAGCCCAATAGTCTATAAAGTAGAAATACAGCCTTTAACATGCGTCAGACTAGAAGGACATCTACTGCTCGATTCTAGTCATTATCAGTGATCATTTCGAGCCCACTGTACAGTAATCGGACCACTACAAGATCACTTTCGTAGTGAGAAAAATGTAGTGTAGTAGTTCATTTTTCTCCTGGAGTAATTATAAATAAACTACATCATTTTCTTTTCTTTCTTGACTCGATCTTACTAGACATTAGAATAAGTATTTCTATATGCTGATTTCTAAACTCAGTTAGTTTTATGAAATATTCAAAATATTTGCCTAAAGTGAAGGAAAGGAGGGATCTGTCACTCACAATATGCATATACAGTTTTTGGAGTTTATATAGCGTAACTGTACAACATGAACTTTTTAGAAGTAAATGATGGTTAAATTTCGTATTGTAGTCTTTTTAACAACTATTACTATCTTATAAAATGTATTGTTTGTGCTAAAGCAGTCACACATAAAGCTGTTTTTTTGTCTGAAATCTTATTTCCGATCGTGACACTTAGGTTATAAAATAGAAGAAAAGTTACATACCGTTGTTCTTGGTTGATTTTGAATTTGTTGATTGGCCAGTAATGGTGGTATTGCGTTCACTTCACTTTTACTTCTTGGCAGCGATCGTTTATTTGTACCATCAAATGATTTTTTTCGTACTTGAGGCGATGGATTTGATTGTGATGATTGTCTGGCACTTGCTGGAATTTTATTATTATATTCGTCCATACTATTATTCATTTGATCTTCGTCAATAGCATCGTCATTATCTTCCTCATCCTCATTTTCATTATCACCATCGCCTTCGAGTGAAAATTCTGGTGCGCTAGCTGATGAAAACTCATAGCTTTTTACTGTTAAATTTGGGGACGTTTTCATTCGAGCATACTCTTTTAGAGGCAACGTATCATTCTGCTTCACGGATAGTGGCGGTGATCTGGACACAGATGTTTGATCAAATCTTGATGTTCGTATAGTAGCCGTTGGTGTTTGTTGTTGAACAAGAATAGCTGGTTGATGTGATGTTACTTTAACTCGAGGTGAAAATGTTACTGTAGCTGCCTGCGGTACTTTTGAAAATGTGGTGGTTGATGGTGAATTTAAATTACATTTAATAACAAAATGTGAATAAAGACTAGCGTCCATCGATTCTTCGCCGCATGAACGAGATAATTCTGAATAGGCACCTGATGAAGTTGTCGAAGCATTTGATACTTTTCGACCGAGAGATGAATCAGACGGTAGAGCTAATGCTGTTGCTGTGACCATTGTGCTGGATGTTGGATTTGAATTAACGTTTTGTAATGGCCAACGACCGGTACTATCGTGATCCACTTGTACGCCCTGAATGAAAAAAAAGAATATTCTGAAGATAAATATTATTGTTTTAACAATAGTAGATGATAAGTTTTTATAGATAAATGATTTAAAAATCTATGGAGTAATGAAATAAGGATGAACTGTTGCAAAACTGAGATCAGCTATCGAACAGACAACCTACTGTTTCGTGTTCGTTATTGTTTGCTTCATTGTACGATGAAAAGCTACTATGTTCTTCAATATTAATGCAAACATTTGAACATGCAAATGATTTAGCAAACGCTTTTAAACCTTTTTTTTGTATCGTCATTTAGTTTCTTAAAAACTAGATTATGAAGTCAAAAGATGTGCACGTACATAAGTAACAGATGATATTTGAGTTATACAAGAAAAAAAAAGAGGTTAAAATACGGTATATACCAAAAAAGGAATAAGCTATAAAAGCGATGACATTTTTGTTCACACGAAACAAAAAAAACATGTGTATGTGTGTGTGTGGTGTGTGTGTGTGTGTGGGAGTATAGAATCATTACATAATAAGGCATAGGCGTTGTCCCTCTATATAAATGTATTGCT